ACTCCTGCCCTTCTCTGTCATCATTTTTTGCCGCTGGGAAATTTCTGATTTTTATGCACTTGGTGATGGTTCACCAGGTCAAAGAAAAGCATGGGACTTACCTGGGAGCTTTATGGAGCAGAGAAAAGCAGTAGTGGGCTATGATTGAAACAGTGACAGTATATACCTTCAGCTGCCTCTCAGCTTCTTGCCAGTTCTTAAGGTCATTCTTCCTTGCTTGGATGAGTAGAAAATTGGGTACCAGCTACTCCTGGGCCCAGAATGAGAGAGATGGTGTGCTGTCTGTACCTCGATTCTCCCGCTGAGCCCAGCCTTATGAAGCCCCGGGCATCATTTTGGCCAGACTGCACTGCTGCTGAGAGCCTCCACGGGAGCAGAGGTGGCAGAGGGGGCTCCCCTGGGGACAGCGGTTCTCCTTGTGCCTGCCTTAGGCTTCCTGGGAGGCGTCGTCAGGAAAGCTGCTGCTCCATGGCTCCTGTTGGTGCTGGTGGTCCGGAGTGCTTGGCATTGCTGCTGGCCGGGCCCTCTGCTACGCGGTGCTGACCTTTTGAGTTGTGAATTTCTGCATTCTTCATTCTTTGGCCACTTGCACTCCAGTCGAGCATATTCCTGTCCTATGAACATGCACTGCTTTTATTCTTTGGGTTTGGGATCTTCCTAATTCCTCAGTGATGTTTTGTGGAGAAGTGTTTGAGGGGAGATTGTGTAGTCCATCATCTTTTTACCCATTCCCTTTTAAGTCTTAAACGTTATCAGCTTTGATCATGCTTAAGTGTGGCCTTTCTTGCACATTCTGAGAGAGGAAACACCTTGCTCGACTGACGGGCTCTAGATCAGCCATTACTTTTAGGTATTTCTCTTGATTTCTCCCCCATTTGTCCCTCAGCCCACTCAGCTGTCCCACTGTGCTGTTTGGGGAGAGGAGCGGCACTACGGGCATGACCTCGTCTCAATTCATCACTCTGTTAGTTTTGGCATTCTATGTATTTTTATATATAGCTTTTCCTTTTATAGAATTAAGTATTTCTGTTTCAGGAGCTTGGTGAAACGCACATTTCCCTGTCCTATCTTAGGCTCAGCAGCTGGTCAGCACAAGGCTGAGGATTGGAGCTGACTTCTGGCTCCTTCGGACACCAGTTAGAGGAGGCGAAGCTGAAATGAAGTGTGCTGATGAAGGGGATGACTGGGGATGCTATTTCTGTTAATTGTTCATTCCAGCTCTTACTGGAGAATTCACAGAGGCTGAGCGGACCCCAGCACGTTAGACTGGAGAAAAGAGGGACGAGAGCAAAATGAAAAGTTTTCACCTTTTCTTCTTCCCCCCTCAGAGCATTGTCTTTGCAATGCTGCCATGTAAAGACTGAGTGCCTATCCGAGGGCTGAATTCAATATAAAATGCTGATTTAGGTCACAACTGTAAGGTTGTCCATCCATCCATCTGGTACAAAGCAACAAATCCAAAATCTGTCTGAAACGACAGGCCAGCCTGGCTGCTCGCTGGCTGAAGTAAATGTGCTCCTCCCGTGGTGTGATAGTCTGGCTGGCCTTGGCAGTGGGCTCCGACTCGCAAGTTTATGGTCTGTCAGCCAGTGCAAACATCCATCCATCAAATATTCCCCACTTGTTATACCTAGAAGACAGAGCCAGGGAGGCATTAAGAAATGAGTGGTGGAGGGAGATTATCTGCTTTGATGTGTGTATTCCCTAGGCTGGGAGATGGAGAGCTGGGATGGTTGTACTCCTGTGGGCTCAAAGATCACCAAAACCCCACCTGTGAAGATGCTTGGATCTCACAGAGGTCTGAGATGGTACAGGGGAGATCCTCCTCCTCATTTTTCAGCTATACCTTGCTCTCCAGCAGAGATGCTATCCTTCTGAGTGCCCGTAGCACAGAGGTTTTTAAAATTTAGGTTATTGCTGCTTATAAACCAAGAATAGGTTATGAAATAAGGCCTGGGTTAGTGCTTGAGTGGCCCAATGAAGCATCAGTGTCACTAGACAGCCAAGCCTTCCAAGGGGAGTGACCTACTGCACATATGCTTTGATAAGCTCCTGGCTTACTCAATACATAACTCTCCCGGCAACATGGCACCCTAAGGGTCAGGTGTACCCAGGGCTGAGCACACGCCAGTTAAAACCCCAGGTCTGTGGGACTAATCCTGCCTCCTTGCTGCCTCTGTGGCTGCTCAGGTGACATCTTCCTTTCTGGGCTGAAAATCCCCAAGCCAAGGTTCCTTTGATCTTAAACAGCCCATGCAGTTTCTGACGCAGTTCAAGGTCCTTGTCCTGGTGTCCTCATCAAAATCTGTTTTCATTCTTTATGTCCCCCCTCAGGCTCCTTTCTGGGACCCAGTGCTTGTAGCGGTCTCTGGTTTCCCAGCCTGCAGAATCCCAGGGGATGGGAGATCGTGTGGGGAGAGGAAGGAATAGCACTTCCTCTGGGTGGACAGGGGTGTCCAAAGGCAGAAAGAAGGAGCCTGTCAAAGTGGGAGAGTGGGAGCAAGGGATTAAGTTCATAGGAGATGCATCAGCTGGGAATATTTTTTGGGCAGGGCAAGTACATCTTAAGAGATCTGGGTACCCACAGGAACCCTTTGCAGAGATGGTTAGCAGTGGAGTCTCAATGTCTCTCAAGACCTTGCCTCTCAAAAAGCCTTTCAAGGCCCTGTTACCGCATGGACGAGCGATCAGATGCTGAGGGGGCAGGTATTGCTACCCTCTTAGAGGTGGCCGCTCTGGGTGCTGGGGGGTGCACGGAGGGAGTGTTTCCATCACAAGAGGACGGAAGCTCTGCTCTCTGGCCAGCCCTTCCCAGTATTCCTTGGTGTAAGGCAGAGGCAGGCCAGGGAGCTGGAGGGGGTTTCTGTTAGCCAGTCAATCAATCATTTCCCAATGTTTATTATTTATCCCCCTGGCCGAGCCCTCCCCTCATCCCTGCCACACTGGGGGGTGCACGGAGGGAGTGTTTCCATCACAAGAGGACGGAAGCTCTGCTCTCTGGCCAGCCCTTCCCAGTATTCCTTGGTGTAAGGCAGAGGCAGGCCAGGGAGCTGGAGGGGGTTTCTGTTAGCCAGTCAATCAATCATTTCCCAATGTTTATTATTTATCCCCCTGGCCGAGCCCTCCCCTCATCCCTGCCACACTGGGTGATGGGAAGTTTTATGATCTCTGAACAGCAGAGGCTGGCGGGCAGCCTGACTGATGCCAGCAGCTCATTCTCAGCCACGTGAGAGGAGAAACATCAAGAAGGAGGGATGGAGTTAGAACTTTATTAGGAGAAACCTAGGCACAATTGACTAAAATCTCATGTTAAGGAGAGCACACAGGTCTTTTCAGGATTAAAAAATACACATACATATATAAAACACCTTACAAACAAAAAAAATACTGGTTTCCCCTCCCCTTTGTGTGTGAGTATATATGTACAGGGAACTGTACCAAAGCTAACTACGTATCAGGAGCAGGGATTCACCATCCCTTTCAGTGGCCCTAAGAGAGGGAATGGCTCAGTCGCCTCATAAGCTGTTCCCAGGCCATTCGCTCATGCAGTCCAGTGTTGGGAAGCTGTGGCCGGTGTCTTGAAAGGGCAGCACAGGGTCCACGACAGGGAGCAGCTTTGCTCTGTTTAGCAATTCTCTCTAAAAGGAGGATGTCAGCTCCGCACTGACAAAATATGTCTGGAGTGAGAGCTGCCCACAGACCTCACCCCCAGACTCACTGTGTGGTGTCGGGCCCCAAAGGCTGCTCTGAGAGGATACAGTGGTGGGAAGAGCTGGTCCATGGGTGGTTTCTTATGCTGTACGCGCTAGGGATGGAGTGGAGATGACCTGATGGCAGAACGGGGGCTTGCTGTGAGGACAAGTATCTTGGCTTGCACAGGCTGGCAGGCTTGAGAGGGCAGCCAAGAGCTGAAGGATGTGCAGGACATGGAGAAGACTCTTGCTCTTTGCAAAAGATGCTGAAGTGTTTTGGTAGGTTAGTGAGAGAAGACGCAGGCCGTACCTCTTCTGCAGGGGAACAGAGGGTGTTTTTTCTCTCAAGTTGGCAGCTGGCAGCGCCCTTCCAGCAGCGTTCATGTAGCTGGAAAGATGACTTTAAAAAGGGGAAAAATCACTCTGATTCGGCACGGTAATTCCTCCCTTTTTACCAGTAGGATATTTGTTCTCACAGGAGCATCTCTATTTCTGATAATGGGTGTCTTGCTTAGAATTGATGACATAAGTATCCTGGGAAAATTCCCTAGTCTTCATCAGCTGGTCATCTAAGTGATATCCCAGGGCCAGTCTGCTGCGCTGGCTTAGGAATGAGGAAGGAAGGGATTCCAACGTTAGACTTGAGGGAGCTGTGTGTGTGGGACCACTGACATCCTTATCTACGGGGAAGTTACATACACAGTGTCAAAAAATTCAAGTAGGATTTATTGTATAGGTAAACTGGTATAAAATGTCTGGGCTCAGGTAGAGAAAGGGAGGGTTGGAAAGAGGGAGAACAAAGCAGATGAGAAAGTCTTTCTTTCAGCAAGCCTGCCGGCGTGTTTCTGCTCCCTGCGGGTGAGAGAAGCTGCAGCTCAGTGTAATTGCCAAGCTGATGTAGCAAACGTTGAACGGACGCCAAGGAAGACGCGAGGGGATTGGGATCCAGTCAGTCTGTTGAGTACAGGCTGGCAGTGGATACTTGCTGGGCAGCCTCAGTAATCTCTGTCCTGTGCTCTGCCAGGTAAGGATGGGGAGTCTCCAGTCCCTGTGGGTCCCATGATGAAAACAGGGCAGAAAGCTTCACATCTGAAGGTTGGTGCCTCTCTTCAGTGCGTGTCTCCCGGTGACTGCCCCAGCCTTAAGCCGTGAGAGGTGCTGTCTGCAATATACTGATGACGTTCGACGGAAAGGAGCAAGAGGGCGTTAAAACAGAGAGAGGTTAGTGGCAAGAGTCCGGCGTCCACTTTGCAGAAGTTTCACTAAGCGCTGAGACTGCTCCTTCTCCTCATCCCTCCTGGAGACAGGTCACACAGACAAATCATCCGACCTCGCCTTGCTGCTGGCACGGCTGGTCTTGCTGAGCCGGCGTTTCTCATTGAAGTAGTTCTCGGGGAAGGCCGGTGCCGCGCACTCGTTGGCCACCTCTGTACTCTCCCCGTAGCTGGACTTAATGAAGGGCCCTTCACCGGCGGCATCCTCCTGGCCATGGACCCTCTCGGTGGCGAAGTTGGCAGTGTTCTGCTGGGAGGCCACCTTGTTGCTGAAGGGGCTGATGAACTTCCCACTGGGACTTGACAAGCACTGGTTAAAATCTGGCGGAGGAGTGTACATCTGGGCTCTTTCTACTTGTGGGGCAGACTCCAATCTGCCGGGGGCTGTGCTGGGACTGGGCTTGTACCGGGAGCACCTCTCCTTGGCTTTTTTCCAGCCCAGGTGGTACAACTCAGCCAGACTGAGGAACAGGGAGAGCACTGCCACGGCCAGCATGAAGACGATGAACACGTTCTTCTCTGTGGGACGGGAAACGTAGCAGTTGACGGGGTGGGGGCAAGGTGCCCGCTGGCAGATATACAGGGTCTCCAGGAAGATCCCATACAAGACGTACTGTCCCACAATGAAGGCCACTTCCATGGCAGTGCGGATCAAAATGCTGTAGACGTAGGTGTTCAGCAGACTGCCCCTGAGTATGATTTTGCCTCCCGATTCATCCCAGCAAGATAGCTCGGCCTTCTCTGCCACAGGGCACTTCTGCTGGTAGTAAGTGTCGCCGCTGTTTTTCATCTCCTGCGCTTCTAATTCTGCCTCCTTCATCTTCCTCTTCTCCTCCATGCGCACTGTGTGCATCGCATGGCCCATGTACACCAGGGACGGGGTGGAGACAAAGATGATCTGGAGCACCCAAAAGCGGACGTGGGAGATGGGGAAGGCCTTGTCGTAGCAGACGTTCTCGCAGCCAGGCTGCTGGGTGTCGCACATGAAGTCCGACTGCTCGTCCCCCCAGGAGGACTCGGCTGCTGTACCCAGCACCAGCATCCGGAAGATGAAGAGCACGGTCAACCAGACCTTCCCCACCACTGTGGAGTGTTTGTGGACCTCCTCGAGGAACTCTCCCAGGAAACTCCAGTCTCCCATTTCTGCTCACCGGGAAGGGTGAGAAGTCTTGAAGGGAGAAGAACACAGCCCCTGTGGGAGAAAACAGAAGAGAGTGGTTCTAAGGAGGGTTAGGAAGTGCCCAGCTGGGAATGCATGGAGCGGAATGATTTGTTGTGTGTCAAAGGAAATGTTTTAATTTGGCCCGACATGAATGAGGTCTGGTTTGCTGAAAACTTTGTTTCACATCCACTGAAAACACTGGTGTTGGGTTTGGTTTTTTGAGGTTTTTTTTTTAACTCAGCTACTGAAAGAAAAAGTGATCTTTTTGGTATAATCCAACTACAACCTTTTAAATGGGCTGCCAAAACTTGGAGGGCGAGCCAGATTTTTTCTTGGTTCAGAAAGTCCTTTCACTGTGGTCTGCATATTGCATCCTCTGCGGCCTGTGTAGTTCAAGCAATATTAATCGGTCTGCAAACTGCGCTCTGGGGAATCCTTAATGGGCTGATCCCCTGGGAGGTAAGAGTGGAGTCTGCAGCTTGTCCTGAGCACTGCCTTGGCACTTTCATGTGTCGTATGTGTGTAACACCTGTGCTGACACGGTTCTGGGTTTCACTGCTGAGCTCGGTGCCACCACTGGAAGGAATGCGGAGGAAACCTTCCTGGTGCCCACCTGCCCCTTGCCCATAGGTTTTGCTTTGGTTTTACAGTGCTGCCAGTTCCAAGTGTTTTGTTTACGAGTTACAAATGTTTTTGGGAGCATAAAAACTTTGGGGAGCTGTGCCAGTCCTGTAAACTTAATCTGCCTCCCCCCTGTCATACCTCTCTGAGAGGGAACTGGTACAAAATCTAAATTTGCTCTCTCCTCTTTTCTTAAGTTCTGAGACAAAATTCACAGTTCAAATGACACAGATGAAAGAAAAAGCCTCCTCTGAAAAGCCTGCCAGCGACCTGTATCTCCTGGGAACCGCTGTTTGGCAGGTGAGGATGAGAGGAAAAGTTTGGTGAGTTGGTAGCAAAATTGCAACGTGAAGAGGTAGGAGAGCCTGCTTCAGTTTTATTTCTGACTCTGACAGACTGTTTCTGGCCAAGTCACTTAACCTCATGGCTAAAAAGAGAACAATGGGTTTAATCCATCTTTTGCAAGTGTGCTTGTGCGATCATTTGATCCCGTTATACCCACCATCCTTACCTTCCCAGGGCACTGCAAAGCTCTCCCTTGTGCCTGAGTTAAGGGCTAGGTGCTATAGAGTGTGCAGTATTACCCTGGAGATAATGTTCTCCCACAGTCACTCTTTCTGAAAATATCCTTTTAGAAATAAATGAAAAACTTAATAATCATCATAATGAAATATTAAAAGCACTAGCCAAGGTAAATCCCAAAGCTGTAGGGACTGAATTGTTAACTCTCCTTCTTTATTGTCCCTTGTCTTGTCTTTAAGAGCCAATTATTTTTACTGTGCAAAGAATGTCTGTGGAGAGTAGACACTGTTAAATGCTGAAAATTTACTGCAGCAATATTGTGTAGGCTTCCTGTGAGCAAAAGCTAGAGAACAGAGAGGCAGGCCTGTTGGGGGTACAGTACCACCTTCGCTGGTCATGTACGTGACACGACGGAACGCAGCAGCGCACGCCATGATTTGATTTATGCCATGGCTTGTTCGTGTGTGGTGTCCAGCTGCAAGGGTGGGTGGGACAAAAATCAGAAATCGAATCCTTATCTCCTGGTGCTGCTGAGGGCTGCCCTGTGGAAAGGTGAGGATTTCCCGGGTAAGGAGACGGGGCGGTGAACGCTTGCTGCCCCACTGCCTGTCAAAAGCTGTGTGAGGAGGGAGAAGGGCTGTACTGAGCAGCAAAGGATGGGCTTTGGCTCTTTCCTGCTCTGGCAGGCACACTGCGGTGTAGAGCCTGGTGGCTGCTTGCTGTGATGCAGAAGCTTTCATCTGCTGCCAGCCCAGGGCTGGAGGAGCAATAACACAGAAAATCAGCTAGTCTTTCTGACTTGATAAAAACTGGCAAATCCAAGGGTCTGTCTTATCTTCTGAAATGCCTTTGGTGCAGTTACAGCATCCTGGAGAAAGCAGCGTTTGGCTTCATTCTGTGTGCACCAGGGGTTAAATATGGGTAGATAAATCAGTGGTGAGATTTACAAACAGTTGCACTGAAGCCAGGATTTTTAACTTTTTTTTTCTTCCCCGGAGTACAGACGAGGCAACCAGCTACCTACAGTTCACCATACAGGTGCATCCAAGGTCAGTGTGGTGTAGCACGACTGTACGTGTGGAATATTCCTTCCAAGACAGCATGAACAACGGCGGGTCTTCTCATTTTTCCAGGTGAGTTGGTGGTGTTTGCAGGTGCCCCTCTTGCTCCTGCTGTTGCTAGCTGACAGCTGTCTATTCTTGATTCACCTTGCTTGTTAGGGTAAAAATAAACACAGTTCTCCCTGACTGTGCCAAGGATGAATTTTCCTTCCTGACCTGTGTGTGTGCAGTCACAGACTGAGCACCTCTTCCCACTGGTTCTACCATGTGCAGGTAGTTTAGGGTTTCACTGTGGCTTGTTTTTCCCAGGAAAAGCTACTATATCCAGACACTTGTGAATTGTAAAAATCAACGTGTGCAGAACACAAAGGGATTGTAAGTGCAAGGGGAGTCCAGAAATAAAAAATGGTAATGGATGTGAGAAGTAACTTACCTGTCTCACATACACAAAAATTTTCCAAGGGGAAGTAAATCAGAATGATCCAAGGCTGGCAGCCGTGAAGCTTAGGCTAAATAATAGGGCTGTTTCCCTGCTGGCTGCTCCCCTGCACAGGCTCTTTAAAGGAGAGGCTGCCCAAAGAGCCGAGTGCCTCCTGGTTATCCTGCTACAGCCCCACAGGGAACTGAGGTGGCTGCGGCAAGGAGGTAGGTGGCCTCGGGAGAATGAGTTTTAGAAACCAAGGGAAGGGGTTTCCCTCCTTCTCTTGTGCAGTGGGTTTGGCTTAGATGTTTTCAGGTGTTAGTGAGCTACTCTTGCAGTGCCAGCCCTAGGCCTCCTAGAACCGAAGAAAGCATCTAGCTCTCTGCTGCCAGCAAGCAAAGAAAGGTTGCTGTCACCTCATGACAGCTGTTCTTGGCTATGCAGGACTACCTCTGACGTAGTCTTTCTCCTCAGGCTTTACTATTCTTGGGAATTTTCCGTATAGTTCCCTTTCCTCATTCCCAGACTACTGTTGTTCCCGCATGCTTTGACCTCTCAGCGTGTGAGCATCTTGTGGCCTTTTATATTCCTAGTTTGGACTCAGCCGAACAAATCCCATCTCCCTCTGGCATGACTCAGCGAAAAGCACCTCTGGGCATCTTCGGGGGGTCTCAGCACCTGATAGCAGACTGTCTGACAGCAGAGAGTTGTGGGCTGTGCCCCTGCCTGGCCACGCTTTTGGCTGACAGCTTCCTGCTGGATCAACAAAGAAGCTGCGAGCAGTCATGGGATCTTGGCACTGGGAAACGCGTATGTGACAAAGACCAGCACAGCCTGGCACAAACCCAGCGACGTGGCCGTCTAGGCTTAATCGTCACCTGGAACGCTACTAAAGCTGGGGAGAACTAACTATCGCATCGCAGGCCAGGCGCAGAGTCCGCCTAGCTCTGGGCTGCCTTGTGACTGCCAAATTCCACGATAAAAATACACCGGCGGGGATGGCAC